TATTGTACCCATGGTAATTAGAATGATCACTAAATTACAAAACAAAAAAGTTTTGGTATACTTAATAATGTCTTCCTGTTTAAAGATATTCCATTTAGGAATAGTATAGTCTACACTTTTTTCCTGGCCTTTATAGTAACTTTATTATTTCTTTTTTTTTTTTATTTTAATGAAATTTACTACTGTATTACATGGGAAATACAACAAATAAATGTGACATTATTTCTTAAAGACATTTGATTGTTCTTAATTTTTTTTTTTTTAATAATTTAAAATATCCTATGATCGGGGTATTATTTTGTCTTTATTACTTGTATTATCTTTCCAATCAGCGTTTAAAAATAGATCCTAGCAAAGCAATTTGTATACATCTTTTGGTCTATCATGTTTAATGGAATATTGTAATCGACTAAGGAAAAAATATTAATTCCTAATAATACATAATAACTACATATTTCCATATTGTTTTGCTATTTCTTCACTAAACAAAATTTACTGCGATTTTTTCGCACGGATCAACTATTATTGTTAGTAAACTGTCATTATTATTATGCGAATAGAATTCCTTAAATTTACTACCGAAGTATATCTACTAACTAGCTGTTTATTTTTTAGCCACATCCCACGATCAAGAAACCTGTTGGCTTTATGAACGGGAACGTTGCTAAAGAGTTGAGAGTGATGGGCCACTCCACCAAAGGCAGCAAGTATTCCAAGTAAGTTAATTTAAATTCTCTCATTTAATTCAAATATACCTCCTCAACTCCTCTCTCAGTTTTTACCAATTTTATAGCGGAATCTCTCTGATTATTCACGTGATACAGTTAAAGTGTATATCAGAGCAGTTGATATTTACTGTTGACATCTTTTTTTTTTTGTTATTTTAAGAAAAAAAAAAAAAAATTTTTTTTTTTTTTTTATTTATTTATTTATTTATTTTTCTCTTATGATATGCGGTATGATCAGCAAGTGATGGCCAGTAAGGTGCCCAAGAGGTCTCGGTCAGACGGAGTTAGCTCACCAGCCAAACAAAGGACTCGTCGCTGCCTACGAGAAATACCTCCAGTGACCAAAATGAACACTTCAGAACCAGAACCTCAGCCCCAACCAGGTACGTCTGCACAAGAAACGATTGAAGAATCACCTTTCTTTACTCCAAACCCCTACCAAGTGCTTCAAAATGACAGAGAAGTAATGGAGTCTGCAGCAATATCCAGAGAACCAAAGCCTCCTCCGATATTTGTGAAAAATATAAAAAATTTCCAGATGTTCTGCACCCAACTAAATAAAATCTGCTCTGGCAGTTATTCATGCCTTAACAGGACCAATGACACCAAAATAACACCTGATTCTGCAGAAGCCTACCGAAAAATAGTGAAGTACTTATCAGAAACAAATGCGAATTTTCACACTTACCAGCTGAGGCAGGAAAGAGCTTTACGAGTAGTGATAAGAAATTTACATTCCTCAACCCCCACTGAAGTTATTAAAGAAGAACTAACGACGCTTGGTTTCAATGTACGCCAGGTAACAAACGTTTTGAAGGAGGACAGGGAGCAGCCAGGATTACGAAATAGGATCCCACTACCATTGTTTTTCGTGGATTTGGAGCCATCACCAGGTATCGAAAAAATATATGATATCACAAGAATATACTACACAATGGTGAAAGTTGAGAAGCCATATCCCAAGAGAGACATCGTGCAGTGCCATAATTGTCAGACCTATGGCCACACGAAGACATATTGCCACCATCTGCCGCGTTGCGTGAAGTGCGGTGAACAGCACAAATCTGTAGAGTGCACCAAACCTATACAAGATCCAGCAGTATGTGCCCTATGCTTGGAGGGACACCCGGCCAACTACAAAGGCTGCCAAATTTACAAGAATCTCAAAACCAGACACCAGAAAAACCGGATTCAAGATGAAGCACTAAGAACAAGAAGAGAGAGAGAGCCTTCCAGAATTGTAAACAATGATGTATCATTCTCCCAACTACTTAGAGGTAAGACTTTAACCGATAAATGTCAAGCCCTGCCACAACAACAACCTCAAACCCAACCTCAAAATCCTCTTCATCCTAATATACCTAACCACCAACAACAAATTCCTCATATTCCTCCTCCTTCAAATGCAACAGATCTCACAAGTTTGTTAGCATCTTTCCTTACCGATTTCAAATCCCTTGTTACTCCACTCATATCACTCCTCACGAATCTCGTATCTCACCTCATCCCTCCTTTGAAAAATCCTTAAATGACTCACATCCCTAAACCCATATCCATTCTCCTTTGGAATGCGAATGGTATTAGAAATCATACAGACGAACTATCTACTTTACTACTTGACAAGAACATTGATGTGGCACTAATTACTGAAACTCGACTAACCACTAAACAGCACTTCAATATACCACAATACCTGACATATCGTACTGACCACCCTGACGGAAAAGCACATGCCGGTACTGCTGTAATTGTACACCAATCCCTCTCCCATCACGTACTCCCATTACCAATACATGATTTCCTACAGTCCACCGCTATCGTGATAAAAACCTTCTCCTTTCCGATCACTCTTGCATCAGCGTATTGCCCTCCTAACCGATCCATATCCAATGCCCAATTCAGTTCTCTCCTCGACTCCTTAGGACATCACTTCATCTTGGGTGCAGACCTAAATGCCAAGCACCAACAATGGGGTTCCAGAACCACGAATTCTCGTGGCCGAACCCTGCTGTCTGCACTCAATTCCCAACGTTTTCACCTCCTTTCCCCCAGCTCTCCTACCTACTGGCCCACAGATCCCAACCGTAATCCTGATCTTCTTGATTTCTTTATCCACAGCGGCTTAAGTCCCCTCAATTGTTCCATTACACGTCTAAATGAACTTTCCTCTGACCATAGTCCTCTAATCCTTAATGTTTCACTTGAACCTGTTCCCAAACCTTCTCCACCGTCATTCATTAGGGGCCCAGTAAACTGGGACCTTTTCCGCCAAATAATCTCCGATAATATTGATCTCAACATATCCCTCAAAACTCCCGATGACCTTGATAGTGCCGTAAATTCCTTTACTACCACAATCCAACAAGCCGCCTGGACTGCCTCCTTCCCAAAAGACTCCTCCAGAATTCCTATAAAGACCATTCTACCCCAACACATCCTTAACCTAATCCGCACCAAACGCCGTGCCAGATTATTATGGCAACGTACCCGACATCCTACCGACCGCTGCTCCTATAATTACTACTGCAAACAATTAAAACTGGAATTAGCCACCGTCAGATCACAATCCTTCAACTCCTACCTATCCTCCCTCTCTTCTCGCGACAATTCCCTTTGGAAAACCACAACAAAAATCCTAAATCCTCACCGCATTTCCCATCCTCTCCGACGAGGTGATGGCTCCTGGGCAGCATCTGACGAAGATAAAGCTGAGGAGTTCGCCATTCACCTATCCAATACATTTATTTCACATCCGGAATCCCATCCTGCCCACACCGTAACAGTAGAAGAACTCCTTACATCACCAATCCCACTTTCCTTGCCCCCAAAAGCTATTCATCCTTCCGAAGTAAAATTTCAATTAAAAAAACTAATCCTCCGTAAAGCTCCTGGACATGATCTCCTTACACCTCAAATCCTTCGACAACTTCCATCCAAAGCAGTCATATTCCTTACATATATCTACAATTGTATCCTGCGTACCACCCACTTCCCTCTGTTATGGAAACACTCCACTATTATCCTTTTCCCAAAACCAGGAAAACCTCTCAATAGCTCAACATCCTATAGACCAATCAGCCTACTCCCAATCCTTTCAAAAATTTTTGAAAAGATCCTTTTGAAACGAATCCTACCCATTATAGAATCCCAAAATATCCCTTCCCATCAGTTTGGTTTTCGCTCTCAACATTCTACTGTTCAACAAGGACTCCGAGTTGTTGATCATATTTCCTCAGCCCTAGAAAACAAGGAATACTGTTCGGGTGCCTTTCTGGACATTGCACAGGCATTTGACCGGGTATGGCACTCCGGACTGCTCTCCAAGCTTAAAATCCATTTACCTCAGTCCTTGTACCTAGTCCTCCGATCCTACCTCTCTGACCGCTCCTTTCGAGTTCGCTGTGGAACAGAATTTTCCAATATCTACTCCGTTAAAGCCGGTGTTCCCCAAGGCAGCGTCTTGGGTCCCGTGCTTTACATCCTCTTTACTGCTGACATCCCTGTTCATCCCGATACTTTTCTTGCAACATTCGCTGACGACACCGCAATCTTATCATCCAACTCCGATCCCGAAATAGCATCCTTAAATCTCCAAAGTCACCTCACCTTGATTGAGCACTGGTGTAATAACTGGCGCATTAAAGTTAATGAATCTAAATGCCAACATATTACCTTTACACTCCGACGCAATTCCTGTCCACCAGTACTCTTTAATTCCATCCAGCTTCCTTATTCAGACACAGTCCGGTATCTTGGCTTTCATTTAGACCGAAGACTAACTTGGAACCCGCATACTAGACTCAAAAGACAAGAACTCAACCGACGATACGGCCAACTATACCGACTACTAAGCAGAAAATCTAAACTTTCCATTGAAAACAAGCTACTGATCTACAAGACAATACTGAAACCTATTTGGACTTACGGACTAGAACTGTGGGGATCAGCAAAATTTTCTAACATCAAGCGCATCCAATCCTTCCAGTCTAAAGTCCTTCGAACAATAGTCGATGCTCCTTTCTATGTATCCAACAAAACCCTACATCATGACCTTAACATCCCATTTGTCCTAGACCTTATCCCAGAAAAATTCTCCAAATTTCACCAGAACCTTACTTACCACCCAAATCCTCTTGCACAATCCCTATCAAGCATCTCCCATCCCTATAATCCTCCAAGAAGGTTGAAACGGCAGTGGCCTCGCGACCTTTTGTAGATTATATAAATTGGAGTTCTGGCAATGGCCTGATTCTTCACTCAAGACATGTGTGTATGTGGCTAAAGTGCTCTCGACCAATCTCCGCTGGCTTTAGTACCAGTGACGCGGTTGGGAGAGTAGCGCAGGGTTCTCCTGGAGTTCCCTCGCCTGATTGTATATAGGTATGCATGTGTTTTTTTTTTTTTTTTTTACTTAGTTTTAATTTTCTTATTTTTTTGGTTATTTTATTTTATTGTCTATTGTATATACTTTTGATTATTATTTTGTTCTATTTATTTTATTTTTTTTGTACATATGGTGTGAATGTCATCCTACCTCACTATAACCAATGTCCAACAGACAGATTGTTATAATACTCAATAAAGAAATTTAAAAAAAAAAAAAAATTCAAATATAAAATATTTTCTTTTCTTGGTACGAACTCCATCTTTTATATGATTTACCATTTATTAATTATAATTGGCCTTTAATTATTTTTAATTATTATAATTATTTAATTATATTGAGCCTTTAATTATTTTCTCTCCCATTCTCAGCATTGAAATACAGGGTAAAACATTGGGAGCTAATTTCATAATAAAATATTAAAAAGAACATTTTTTTCTTTTCTATTTTTGGGTTCAGTGCGCTATTACATGGTGTTTCGTTGAAGATGATCATTACATTTCTTAAATATGTGAGCTTAAGTTTTAATAATACCATAATTTAAAAAAATAAATGAGAAGGAGTTGATCGGGGGGTGCGATCAAATAAATACTAAATTGAACAAATAGTAATTATTTAATTTTTGACGACGTTTCGACCGTCTACTTTGTTGGTCTTCATCAGGGCGTAGGATGCAGCACTGCGGGAGGCAGTTGAAACACTAATATAAAAAAATAAATAAATCTCCGACAGTTGATAGTTCAGTCTATATTTTCCAAAAGTAATTTTAGAAATGCAGTTACCGCATATAATATCAGTATTAGTTTGATAATCCATTGTATTTACTTTATATTGACATAAAACGATTCTTCAAAAACGTTAGTTATACATCAAGAGATAGAGAATTAAAAATTAAAACCTTCCAAAATGCTGTTATCTTTCACTAATATTTTTTTTAGAAATAACAAGTGTTCAATGGGATTTAACCGCAAGTAGAAATAAGGACTTACATGTATATATCAGACAATATAAAATATCGATAATCTGTTCTGGATGGAGTGAAATCATAAAATCATTGGATACGCAGATGACATAGCTGTCCTTGGAAGTAATCAAGAGGACATTGAGAAACTAGCTACGACTCTGATAAGAGAGCAGATCGGCCAACAAGTAAATGAAGACAAGACAAAACATATGATAATAAGCCGAAAATTTCACCCTTATAGCTGGATCTGCGCAGGAGAAAAATCATTAATAAGTTATAGAAAAATTCAAATACCTCGGCTCCACAATAACCTCCACGAATGACCAACGGTCAGAAATATACCAGCGCATAACTAGCGCAAACAGAGATTTCAAAGGTATTTAAATCCCGAAAAATCTCAAGAAATCTCAAATTAAGGGTGTATAATGCTATGATAAAGCCAGTTCTAATATATGGCTGTGAGACCCGAACAATTAATGCCTCAATAGAAGGCAAAAGACCACGTGGAAGGTCAAAAATGAGATGGATAGATGGAATCAACAAAGACTCGATAAAGATGCGTGCAGATAAGTGGAAAGAAATAGCCCAAGACAGGAAGAGATGGAGCAGGCTTGTTAAGGCGGCAAAAGATCTATAAAGCCTATAATGCCAACAGCAAAAAAAATGTTTTTATTGTTTAAATGCATCACGATCTTGATAAAATCATTAACACTTTATGAAAAATATTAGATTAATTAAAATGTAATAATCAAAATTTAAGTGAAGAAATTCGTAATCGATAAACCAATATCAATAAGGAATAAGTATATGTAGATCGAATATGGAACTTTTGGAATTACTTTTTATTAATTAAAGAAAAAAAGTATGAGTACAAAACATTCGGCGATTCAAACCTATTACCTCAGTATCAAACTTGACTCAAAGTCTCAAATTTAATACTTACTGCAGTAGTTAATTACCAAAAGTAATGTTTCAAACTTGGCCATCAAGTACCCGAACTCAGTCTGAAGTTAAACATAATAATTTTTAAAAGCCTTCCCCTCTCTGCTATTCTGTGCGAAAACTCTTTTAAACCATGTTTTGACATCTTAAAGAATTAACATATAATAGAAATTATACTATATTAATAAAGGGAGGAGAGGTACACAAAATAACAGGCTTAGATGATAGATGATGGACGGTGGTGTGTCAACAGCGATAGGCAGTATCGGCATCAAACCTTCTTATTATATTATTATTACATATTAATATTCTTTATATTACTTCTTTTCAGAATTCTGGTGAAAGTATATTTCCTTGAAGAAAATTCATGGGCACGTTAATTATAATATTCTGAATCATTTATCATTGTAATATTTTCACTGTCGTGTAGGTAAATATCTTTTTGAGCCACTTTCAAGCTCTTGTTATATTCTGAAAAGCAAAAGAAAACACCCGCAAAATTGCAGAAGATTCCTCTTTGAGATTACAAGAGATAATCAACTACACCGTGAGCTAGGAGTATAAGCAATCAACGAACTCATTAAAAAACTGTGTCTATTTTCTACAGTAAGGGTGTAGGAGCTTCCAAGACAGGAAATCTGATATTATCCAGTAATATAAAACCCATGCGACTTTTTATTGTTATGAAGTTTATTTTAACTTTATTTTTTCATTATTCAGTTGGTTGGTTGCTTCCAAATATAAAACAGAATGACATAATAAAGCCTCTTCTGAAAAAAATAAATAAATAAAAATACCTTGGCTTAAAATTATTTCGAAGGAAATTCTAATTGTACCACTCTGTTCAGTCATTTTTAATAGTTGTATTCCGTATCGTTTTTAAATTATCATCATTGGTTTACAATAAAACATCCGGAACCGATTAAATTTGTAGTTCTTGTTGCACATTTTTTTTAAAGAACTAGAATATTAGCCGGGAGATCCAAGATTAATTTTTCCGCTCCTTCTTTCAACCCTCGTTCCCCAATAGTCCTCAACAATTTCGTAACGATATTTTTTTTAAATATATTTCGAATTAAATATCATCTCATTACATTGACTTTGTTTTTCAAAGCAAAACAAAAACAAACGTATTTTATTTAATCTAAAAATAAAAATTTGCTTAAAACTTATCGCCCCTTAAATTATCTATCGGCCGGAAGAATCGTCCCTTGGTCCGTCCCTCTTGCACTACTATTGTCCAACTACCAGTACCAGTACTAAATATCTAACCGCCCAACCTTTGGTCGACAGGTTGGGCCTAGCGGAGAAGGAGGAGAACAAGAACCCAGAGGACGAGGTGAACGACTACCTGATGAGGGCCATCGATGCCCGAAGCGTGGACCAACTGAGATCCGAACACTGCAGGCCCTTTCTCCTCCACTTCAAGCAGCCCCACATAGAGGCTAAGGTATGGGTTAACCAATATATATATATATATATATATATATATATATATATATATATATATATAAAACTTATATGTTATATTTTGTCTTATTTCATATAAAATTATAAAACTTTCTCACTGTTAGTTTTAAGTATTAACGCGTGGGAACATTAGACAAGCCTGTAAACTGTTAACCCTTGCATCTACTTTCATAGAAACAGAACCCTCTTTCCTATTTATCCTTTATTATTTATTATTAATAAAAAACATAAAATTGGACATACAAAAATTAAATTTGCGATCTGAAAATTTCTTTGCAATGAGCAAATTGTTTGGCAGCTTCACAGCGTCCAGGAAATAGTTCAGTTCAGCAGGTCTCTTGGTCACCGCCTACGTAATCGTCGAGGTGGGCTGTACGGGTTTCTAGTGCTTTTAAGGTTTTCTGTCAGAGGATTTGTGTTGTAAGTTAGTCTTTGGTGAAAGTTGTTGTAGTTTATTTTTGCAGTGTCTGAAATTGTTGCGATGTTTAAGTCCGTATTTAATCTATCGTTTGTGACATAAAATGGTGCGTCAACTATTCTTCGTAAAATTTTGGATTGGAAAGACTGGATTTTTTTTAATATTAGAAGTTTTAGCAGAACCCCACAGTTCTATGACATAAGTCCAAATTGGTTTTAGTAAAACTTTATAGAGTGTTAGTTGGATAGTCAAAGCTAATTTTGAGCGTCTGTCAAGTAACCTAGATAAAAGACCGTATCGTCTGTTTAATTCCATACGTTTTTGTCTAATGTGTGTCCTGCAAGTTAGTCTTTTGTCGAGATAAAAACCCAAATATTATTATATTATTTATCCTTAAAAAATATATTTTAATTTGTTCTCAGTCCATCTAGAGCCCGTCTCCACGCCACTCCTCTTTCTGATGTTGTTATTTACACTTTTTTTGTTTTATTTACGTGTAAACTTGTAGAATAAACATTTTTAAAAAAGTCTTAGCTTCTACATTGGAGATAAGTTATATATTGAACAGGATGTTATACCACTGGCATGTTTGTTACTTTTGTAAGCAACAATTGTAATTTAATTATTCCTTTCAGGATAGTTTTCGTTTATTTATATTATCCATGTTAATGTTGTCTCATAGCATTGTAATCCTTTCAGATTAATAAAATCAATAATTAAAACAATGTTATAAATTAAGGTATGAATATGAGTAAAGAACGGCTTGGCCTTCATGCTCACCAGACCTGACACCAATGTATTTTTTTTGTTTGGGGATGACATCAAACAAAAGTCTATGCAAGTGCGGTGAATTACCTTAATTCCTTATGAAGAAGGATTAAAAGTTCTGCCAGTGGTGCTGTTGACGAAAGATGCCGAGCCTGTCTTAATGCTCAAGGAACTCACTTTGAACAACATTTAATTTGAATTTAATGTTCACGTTTAATTACTAAAGTAGTTGGAACAAATAAATAAAGTTTTATTTACTTAAATAACGTAAATAATTCATAACAAAGAAAATCTTTAGGTGTGTATATCTCCTAAACAAAGCGTTTGCGGACATACCTTCATAAGAATTTTTTTTCTTGTTTTGAAGTCTTTAATTCATATTTTCAGTTTTGCCACTTAACCCTGAAACACCCCGTATATTGTACAAATGCTTTCTTGATTTTAAAAATTACAAATTTGACTTCTTTGTTCTAAATGTTATACAAAACTCAAAGTCGTTTTCATGTTTCATGCGACTTTTATCCCACTTCAAGACAACGATACAGTAACATAAAAATAAATTGTGAATAGGATGATGAAATACGAAAAGACATTTAATCGCATCACTGAGCATTTTCATAGAGAATATTTATCTCTTGCCAATGGGTGGTGGACAAAAATATACATTGGGTGTCTATTCACAACGGAGGCGGGTGATACGCTTGGCTGGAGGGAGTGGAAGTGATAAGGGCGCCAATGGAAAGGAATCCTCCACGGAGGAATGTTATAAGAGTCCAATAGTATCGTATATAAAATAATATTAGATAAACTATTAATAGTAATTATTATTAAAAAACCATAGTTAGATCATTCATTTTTGTGAGATTTTTATATATTTAATCAATGCTGTAAACCGGGATTACTTTGGGATCAGAGGGTACTATTAGCTTTGCTCAAACGCGAGACCAAGACGAGTCTTGGTCTTGCAAACTCATTCCTAGTCTTGCTCTTGGTCTTGATCAATAGTCTCGCAACAGTCTTGCAGTTACCCATTAGCTTATTACTATATAGATATTACTGTAATTTTTCAGATAGAGGAAACCTAACTAAGCCCGAATGAAAATTTAGAAGAGTTAAATGCAAAAGTATATTGGTTATTCCAATTCTTTACATATAGTAACTAAAATTGTCAAGTATTAGCAACTATTTTGTCTTAATTATTATTCACAAAAACGATTTTCTTTTACCAGTCTTGGTCTTGGTTAGGAGGTCTTGGTCTTGGAATATGCGCTACAGTTTATTTTTAATGTGAAATTATCTGGCTAGTTAAACATTTTTATATTGAGATAAATTTCGTTCACTCTAGATATGACATATTTCCAGTCAGCCAGGCGATTTAATATTCAAAATACTCTGGTACATAGTAACCATATAGTCCCAAAGTAACCCCGGTAGACGGTGAAGGATTAATTTTATACAAAAAAAAAATTAATCGCATGCATTTTGGTTTATTATTTTCAATAATGAACCACTGTGATCGACCGAAAAATTCAAAAACTTAACCCCCTCTCAAAATTTGAGGTTTCACATTTCAGGATGCGTAGAATTCGAAAAACAAATACAAATTTTTTTTTTCATCCACCGCCCGCCGTACGCCGTACACCGTACGCGCTTTTTCTCCGAAACTACTGGACCGATATTTTTCAAATTCGGATATAAAATCAGAGGTCACCCGAGGATGATCCTCCTTCATCGACATTACTATCCGCCTTTTACTTTCAAAATGGCGGCCGAAAAACCTTCGTTGCTGTAGACTGTAGCTCCTAAACGAATGTACCGATTTCAATGAAACTTGGCTAAAGTCATTTTCTTGATGGTTTTTTAAAAGTTTCCGGAATTTCCTAAAAAACAAAAAACAAATCGTTAAAACTGGACAATTAGCATCAATGATATGGTCTCCAGGGTTTTTTATGTAATCCACTCCAAATATTATATCCATTGTTTGGTTTTTAAATTTTGAATGTGTTACTGAAGTAATGCTATTTTGTTTTAGCATATTACTAATGATTAAAAAAAAGTTTAGTCCAATAATTGGAATCACCTTTTATTTACTTTTCATTGTAACTAGGAAGGTAATATTACTTTAGATGTATAGTTGTTTGGAAATAATAAACCATTGTGAAATAATTTGCAGCGTTTTATTTTACAATTAAAACATATTTTTAACAAGAATTACTAATTTACGCTTCGGCTGTAAAAAAATATTTCCAGATTTTTTTTTTTCAAAAACGTAAACAGCATTAGTCATAAAATCACTATTCATAAAACTTTTAAATATATTTGTACATAATATACAACTCAAAGGGTTGTAATTATTTAATTAAATATTTCACAAACATATATTCTTATTAAAAATTTTAATTTTGTGTATATTATTATTTCTGATTTTATTTAAGTTAGCTTAAATTAATTACAGTGAAACCAGCATTGTTGTTACCACCGGTTTATTTTATAATAAAGAAGAGGAATAATTAATAACCGGCTTGGATGGCAAAGCTTAATCACCTTAAAGTTGGCAACAACAAACTTTGTAATTAAACTAGCAACTTTAGGAGTAATGTTAAAGACAACTCACATGTGGATTCTCGACACCCGTCTACAGCATCTTTGGCGTGTCAGTTACATGTCAAATACAATTTATACAAATTATATTTATTTTATTGTAAGACAAGATTTACAAAATCAAATTTCAAGAAGAATGCTGATCAGAATTTAATATATTATATAATTGCGAATAAAAATATACTTAAAAAATATGTAGGTGTAAGTTGGCCAAATTAAAGCTGAATCGATGTTATATGAAACTAATTCAAGACACAAAACATCCTCATAATTCCACCTTCAAGGCTGTTGTTTCCAAGACTTAACCGATTGAACCAAAGCAATGCCATCTTGATATGGGCTATATTATCACTATTCTCTGCACGAATTTGATTATATCTTTACACTTACAAGAGGAGGTCATGGCCTCCAACCAACTTTTTTTTTTTGGTGATTCTACAAAGAAAAAGCTTTCGATACATGTCTCGCTTTCGTTCCAAAAGATTCTTTTTTAAGGAAACAAAGTTGATATTCGTTTTTCGCACATAAATAGTAATTTTTTTAGCAATCAAAAACTAAAACTGTTCTTCTAGGTTTAACCCTTTATAATTCTTTTCGAAAACTGTAATAAGACGACCCCACTGATTCACAGAAAAATTATCAGAGAAAGAGGGGCCCATTTCCCCTCTCCCCTAAGGCCGATGATGCATAAACATTCTCCCACCCCTACCGAGATATTTTATTGCTCTAGGCAAACGAAAGTAGTATTTAAATATTCGTAGATTATATACAATTACACATCATGCGTTCTGCTCCATGCTTCCACTTGCCTTTTTATTTGAAACTTTTCATTCTGAAAATTCATAACCCTGTCGAAATGTGCCCCCCTCAAAAATTGAAAACTCCGTCAAAATCTGGCCACCTCATAAATTTTGATGGCGCGACTTGCAACGCCCTTCTGGACGCACCTGTTCAGGGATGTAGGATGTTATTAGCAAAATTTATTTCTCATTTTGCACAAAAAAATAAATAGATTGGTATATATACAAACCTTCAAATCCGGGAAAAACAAAGACAAAAAAATAGCATAAAGTTTTTTTGAAATTATAGAAATTTATTTTTTCTCCGCTACACGAAATGGCACAGAACCGACATCCTTAAATTATAACTCAAGATGATAACTCATTAAATGCTTTTGACAAAATTTATTTCTTATATCACACAAAAAAAATAATCGGTTGGTATATATAGACCTTCAAATCCGGGAAAAATAAAGGTATCAAAAACATAAACATAAAGCTTTTTTGAAGTTGTATAAAATATTTTTTCTCCGTCTCCAAGGCCCATTGGAACGAATCTTTGGGCACGTGTTTAATATTTTTCCATGCAGAATCACTAAAAAAACTTTGGTAGCAATCGGTGACCCACTGAATGTGATCTCTCCATGTTAGTATTTTCCCCCAGAAGCACCTCGGAAGACAACGGAGTTCAATATTTTCCTCCATCGTTTCGATAAAATTTATGTAACCGAATGAATAATCAAAGTAAACAATGGTGAATGATGATTACAAAGGACACATTGGTGTCAGCATTGAAGCCATGCAATAGTTTGGAACGAGCCAAGTATAGATTAGAAATAATCAATAAATATTATATTGGTTATAAATGAATATGGAATAAGGTTATTTGTATTTATATTTTTTATTCGTAATTAAAATCGAAATAAATGAAATGAAAGTAATCAAGTCAGAGGAAAAATAGGGTTATCCCACACATTTTATTTGAAGAGTGAAAGCAATTCTCCCTTACCGGATTTATCTGAATATGAATAACCGGACCCTCGATGATTGAATTGTCGGTATAGAGATGGATGACTTAGCTGAGTAAACTGGGATTTCATTATATAAATAAATAAAAATTCACATACTTTGTCTAAATACAATTGATACATAATAATGTAATTTTATATCAAAGAACATGTAGTGCTTAGCCTTGGGATCCTGAATCACTTTAATGGGCACAAATTACCGATTCTGGAGGAAGATCCCTGTGTCGTAATGAAGGACCCCAATTTAGCCAATTGGCTGACGAAGCAGCTGACGCTGGAGAGAATAGAGAAGAACTGAATCCAAATCGGATTATCCGCAACTGAATTAGTGTGCCGACCATCCCACCTCCCCTCCCCTGGCCTCCGTGTCTCTTCCTGTAGATGTCTCATCGCCTTTCTTCTTTTCAATGTTGGAAAGTGTTCGGTCGCTTTAGGCTTCCAAAGTTATTTGTTTAACCGAATTAACCAATAAAAACAGGAAAAAGAAAGACTTAACGTATTCGACTAACGGTGTAGTGCTAAGAATAATATTTATTCGTAAAATAAGAATTACTGTACTTGTTACACCAAAACTACTTATCAAGAGTAACTTACTGCCACACCTCTCTTCTTTATGAACCATATTGATACAAACCACCATATTTATACGAAGGGGTGTACAAGGAGGAGGGTACGGAGAAGAGAAGATCTTAGCGACAAGATGTGACACAATCAACACAGCTTTATCGATACCGCCAAAGAATTGTGGACTAAGACTCTGGGTGCTAAGCCATAATCAACACTCTGAACGTTATCTTGGCACGAAAAGTAAACAAGAAATGTTTTACTTACAAAATACTTCACTGAGTAGTTTTTCGCTTTTCCTGTTCCCTCACTCCTCTAGTCCTTTTTTCACTACCCTGACCGACATATAGTAAATATATTTCTTGATTATCGTTTATTAAAAGTTATTATTATTGTTATTATGGCGCAACGGTCCTGGAAGAGCCCTCCACTGCAGCAAAACCAATCTCCACGGTCTTGTGCTACTTCCCTCCATCTTCGAACGCCCAGCCGCCTCAGATCGTCCTCAACATCTTCCAGCCAACTGATTCGTGGGCGCCCTCTACTTCTTTTACCATCCCCTCCTCATGTAGTATCTTCTTTGGCATTCTTTGGTCTGGCATTCTTTCCAGATGGCCTAACCATCTGATTCTGGCTCTTTTTATCAATGCTACAATATCAGGTTCACCGTAGAGTTCCCGCAGCTCATTCTTTCTTCTTCTCCAAATTCCATTCTCAAAGATTCCGCCCCATATTCTTCTCAGTACTTTCCTCTCCCAGGAGTTGAGCGTGCGTTCTGAGTTTCTAGTTAAGGTCCAATTCTCACACCCATACATAACCACTGGTTTCTCGCACTTACTATAGTTTTGTACGAGAATTTTGATTCTTTTAGAGAGTGATTAGAACTTCAAGTCTCTTTGCAGTGAGAAATAGCATATATTTTCTGCTGCAATATTAAAAGTTAAATATTTCAATTAATATTACTACATATCGGCAGTGTACTTCCAAAATATCAGAAGTCTAATTTTTTTAAAATCTCAATAACAAAATTAAATTGTCCTTACCGAGTGCCTTTCGCCATTTCTACAATATAATTGTGATAATACGTCTACTTACGAGTTGTAAAAGTAACCCGTAACTTTAGAAGGCTTTAGTTTTATTTATTTATTTATTTTCTTTGATCTAATTTAATTTTTTTTTGTCAAATGCATTTACGAGGTTACTCTCCTAATTAGTTTCATAATAATTTATTTATTGCGCTGGTTACTTCAAATTAGTTATCAGAATTCTCATCGATTTTAGAGTACGCTATTTTTCATTCCTTTATATTTCCATAAACTTTGAAGATAAGGAACTGAAAATCCGTTAATAGAGGCCTATCGAACTAATCAATACAGTAATATAACGGTAACGGAGGAAAACAATATTCAAAAGGACAATAATTGATTACTTTTCATGATTTGAGTAACTTTATGAGGAAAGAGTGCCGATTATTTTCTGTACTCTGCCCGTTCTTGATACTTTATGATTGTTAGTGATAAGTCATAAAAGTACTCGTGGTATATTCCGGATTACAAAAAGTACCAAGCCAAACTCATTTGAGTATTATTCTCGTATTTCTACTACTCCATCATTATGGTTTATTTTATTTCCAATTTTCTCCATATTGAAATCCACTCACTATAGGATTATTGAAGACGAATTTTCGGAAACTAATATCAATTCTAACATCACTTATAGATTTATTTAAACTTTTTGGATTTATTCAACATTATGGTCCATTTTCTTGTTATCGGAGGCCCATTTTTTTAAAACACTATCGATTTTATGATTGCGCAATCGCCTCTGTACTTAATGTAATGTTGTTATTTTTATATAGGAGTCAAATATTAACAAAGGCTTTTTATTTAAAATACTATTCATTTTTTAATCGCGTGCTCTTATCGAAATCATAGTTTTAGGACATATTACAATTTTATAATTGCGATACCACACAAAATATACTGTGATTTTTATAAAGACAAATTAAAAATGAGATTTAATGATAAAATATGGTTGAAATAAATAAACAATGTGAAAGAAATAAGTATTATAAAAAAATTAGAAAGTCTGTGATATTGGTTTTTTTTTTAATTCTAAACGTCAAGCAACGAAAAATGAGAAAAACATTATGAAGGTAAATAACATCCCACAATATTATATATAATAATGGTTTCCCATATAAAAAGAAACTCGGATAAGTAAAATAAATCCGAACAAGATAGTGCAATCTTAAAAGTGGTAAATTTTCAAAAACGATAGCATACTTTAACATTTATATTAATTCAATATTTTTATAGTAATACTTCAAAACATTACTTGATCCTTATCTATAATCGTGAATCCAATAAAATGATTCAGATATTTTTCGCATATTTATAATTTTAGAAGAAGTAATCTTGATTTCGGTCAAAAAATACTATATTCATTGCATTGTCCTTTACCGACTTTACCGATCTTTTACTTTATCGATATTAGACTGCCAGTTGCATCTCTTCAGCATTGTCAGATGGAATACCCTGAAGAAGACATACAATGTAGGTCGGAACGTTGGATCATGCAATAAATATACTATTATATAGTACATAATTTTTTTACCGCACCCCTGACTAACTTCTTCTGAAATTATAATCTACTGTCAACCATATCCATACCATTATTTATGATTTTAATATGAGGAACTTTAAGCGATGCGAAAAAAAAAAATTTATTTATTTTTTCACATATTACTTAAAGGATTAATATGCCCCAGCTGCTTCAAAATTTATAAAAGTTTTTTTTATTTTATTTTATGTAAATATCATTATGGTTTTCATACAAAGCAGCCCAAGTTCTCTTTAAGGACAAAAACTTACTTTCAAACGAACAATTTAAACATCGCTTTACTTGGAAGTCTCGTATTAATTATAAGCGTTACATTAAAAGAGGTAAATTGGCCGTTGAGTACGACTCAGGGAATAAATTTACAAAGGACCTTATTAGCCTCATTAAAAAAAATCCTGGAAAAGCTACACAATATGCCAAGATGAAAGAAATTAATTTTTTAAATAGTGCTTTTTTTTTCTTCTTCCATATACCATTATATTACTAATGCTACTGTACTTTACCGCACTATCAAAAATTTTATATTTAACAATCCATAAAATAAATAATAAATAACATAATTACTTATATAACATAATATAAGAGGTAAATCTACCTCTCTGGTTTCAGTACTCCAAAGAACGAGACAAGATGCTCCACATCTACTTCTTGTGCTCGCTATCCATCATAGCTTCCATCGCAGCTGTGGTGCTTCTCATATTTCCGCAGTGAGTTCCGTTATTATCTTTTAATTTTTTATTATACCACGATCCACGACAAAATATTTCATAATTACATTTATCATTTTCCTCTAATATCCTTCCGGCATAAATTGCATGTTGTAGATCACAATGAAATTTTTTATTTTATTTAATTTTATGCGTCAAGATAGTTAATGATAAATCAAATTTAATTACAATTTCAATTTTTGTTGAAAAAAAGTAATAAAAATATTTATGTAAAAATAAAAATAATTCCTGTTTGCTATGATATGTAATTACAAAAATAATTCTTACAGAAAATATTTCTTACAATGTAATATATTACTTTATGAAGTTAACTAAAAGAATGTTGATGAAAGTCAGTAAAGAATTAGGTACACAAACATATAGGGATACATTTTTTTTTTTATATTACATTTTAAATTTAAGATAACATTTTTATATCTATCTACCTAAACCTATTTAAGCTGTTTTAATTTTCACCATATGTCATTATTTTTACTACATTTGGAACGATTCGGCCGTTATGCCATCCTCAGATATGTCTATTATATTGTATGTTTGCCGTATATAAATATCAAGGTACCTTGAAGGTAATACCTATTACTTTAATAACCTGCATAATTACAGTTGTTTGCTTGGTTGTTTTGAAAAATATAATTTAGCAAACAAATTTATCCCCATTATAAAACAAAAAATACTTTTCTAAAAGTACCTAGATTTATTTTAAGAGTGAAAGTATTAAATGCTCTCTCAAAGTAATAAAAAATTTAAATGTATAGGCAAATCTCAATGGAAACAAACCTATGCGATGTGCTACAATCAGTATTGCAAGCCAACCTCATATTAAATCAATAATAATTATTAATATTACATATAATTTATATGCAGTAAGAAAGTACTAGTTCAAGGCCAACTGTACTTGGTATATTTCATCAATAGTGCTCCAAATATAACATTCGATATATTAACATTCCATTTTAATACCTCGAGGTTTTTCCACCTTCTAATTTTTTGAACTGTTCATTACGATGAACAAATGCATAAGTAGCAAATTATCTTTATATCTTATTATTTCATTGCTCACATAAAAAATTAAACAAAAGTAAGGACTATTTTTTTGTAAAAATTTATAATACTTGATTAATTGAAGATGAAAACCTGTTCCCCCAGTCTGCCAAACGGCGGACCAACCCCCACTTTATAAATTATACAACTGTTCATTTAATTGTACTTACTACTCCTTATCGAATTGTGTAATTGTAATTTACATGTATTCTGTAGTTCAGATTGTATTATTTTTTTTAATATAGTGTAAGCAGGTAAAAAAAATAATTTTCAAGTCTTTTTCTCTTTATCTTTCGGAAAGAATTACACTTCATCTCGAAAACGGAGCATAAAGTGCAGGGTCCAAAAGAAGGTTGCGATGGCTGGGCCATATTCAATGGATGTCGGATGAGAGGCTACCAAAAAAGATAATAAGACCAAGGCTGAGGTGGTTGGATGACTTAGAGGACGATTTGAGATGGATAGGAGTAAGAGGATGGTGAAGGAAATCTGAAGATAGGCAGGAATGGCTATCAATTTTAAGTGCGGCCAAAGTCCAGCTAGGGCTGTAGCGCCATTAAATGAGATAAAAGTGCAGGGTCCTATAGTCCCTTTGGAACCATACCGGGTCTTGATATCCTTGACAAATCTTTAAAATACAATCTATCTCACCCCGATTCGTATTTTCGACTTTTGAAACCATGTTTTGACGCCTAACTTTTTCAAATGACTTTTATTAAAGTTTTTTATGAATTGAAATTGGAATTCGTAGCTTCTCCGTAAAATTCCCTTTCGTTTGATACCTCATCCATCGCTCCTAAAAGCCGCAAAAGAAATCTGTACTACCGAATTACTTTTAGGATAGATTCCTAATAAAAATGGAGCCGGCAGAAACTTTTCTTAATAACTGTGAGAAGAGACTAGAAGACTACGTTTAAAAAAATAGTTCTATTTGTTTATCTATTTCATGAACCCAAGCGAATTTTCTTAAATCGACAAGTAAGAGATTAAAACATTTTTCAAAAATAAGTTCCTATGGCCAATATCTCAATTAATACAAGAAGATTTGATTAACTTGTCTAAGGAAGCATTTCAATCAGGATGATTAGCTAATTAATCAGGTAGGAGCTGTAATTTAATCTCAGCGAATCTACGGATCCCTAGCAAACCGAAGCCCAATTATTTGAATCAATCTTAGCGCAGCTCTCTGAAAACGGATCCGACTAAATCTGTTAAATTAACTTCTCCAACTCCAATAGAATCACGTCATTTAAATGTCTTTCTAATAACTATGAAAATTATGTCTCGTATTAAATTATTTTTCATAAAATACCGATTCTGTAAACGGTTTAATTATAATCTTAACGGTTTGATCAGATAGCCCCACGATGGTCTAAATCCGTATCACGTGATAATAATAAAATTGATTTTCTCCTAATTTAAATTATCGATCTTATTAAATATACCATTAGCGTATTGACGATTCCCATAATCCAGAAAGCCTGGTCATCTAAAAACACTCACAGGACACAATAGACCCCTTATCAAGACTTAAGGAGGAATAACAATTTTCTGTCTGTCTCTTTCGTGTAGACCTCATCACAGGCGGATCTACGGGGGGGGTCTTCCCCCCTCCCAAAGCGGTAAAATATAACCATGTTTTATAGAAAAAAAGTATTAAAAACAATCTCTTAAAATATTATTGTTCATGTAATTACATTTAATAGGACTTCAAGAATCATATAAACACCATATCATATAGGTAGTTAATTTCTGTCTTTTTTTTTCAAATTAATTATCATTATACATATGGAAAAAAAAGCTGAAGCCCTCTCCCCTCCCCCCCAAAATTAAATCCTGGATCCGCTAGTGGATCTCATATCAATACTATAATATAAGAATATCCAATTATTAACTTGTTCTTTCCATCTCAGACAGCTTTCCTCGATTCTTCTATTTCTTGATATATTTAACCCATGGCCCTCAGGTCAAATAACTCTTGCTGTTACATTCTAAAATGCCTTAACTATTCGCGATTCGTGATGAAATACTAAAGTCAGGTTATTTTTGCCTAATATATTTATATATAATATATATTAATATTTATATATTTATAAAAATATTCACTTTTCACTATATAAAATGCATGATAAAATGTGTAAATTAATTAAGTTTATATATATAGATAAATACTTTTTTCAGCTCTTTGACGCTGTACATCGGTTTTGGGGTGACTTTGGTGATGGCTGCCGCAGCCAACCTGGTCGTCCTATCAGAGAAGTGTAAGGTAGCTCAACTTAATGAGAATTATTTACAAAAACATATATTGTTGACAACTACAATAAGAAACATTAGGTAACATGCATAAATCAAATCATATTTCCCAGGCATTGGTAAGTAATTTCAACATAAGTTCCACTGTAATAAATGTACATTTTCTTAATGTTCTCTTCGATTATTTTATTATTCCATTCCCATAGGAAAAGTAGAAGGTTACAACGATCTGGAATGAGCAGAGAAAAAAAAATCACTTTTAAGAATACAACGGCTATTCTATGAAAATATTCAGTTGCTAGGATAAGTTTGAATCAGAAGTTTCCATGGAGTAAAGTAAGCATGCAAAAGAAAATATCCATTGCAGATTGATCTACATCATGATATTTGAATTGTAGAAACAAACTATGAAAACAAAGATGCGAGAAACCTTGATTCGGTGGAAGAAAAACAACAAGAAAAGTTGTGGAAGTAAAACTGACTATTGTAGAACATGAATGAACCGTGAAGGAGGAAACTTTTTTAACACTACCGTATCAGACATGACATTCTCAATCGATCGCTGCAACTTATCTAGAAAGAATGTGTCAAAGATGAAGAATAATTTTTCCGATCACTATTTTTTATGGTGGTTTAATCGTGGCAAGGAATTATTATGAAATAAAGACTAAGAGTATCTGTAATGACACTCAATAATTTATATTTTTTCAGTCACCTTATTTTTAAAAAATCAACTCAAAGGAAAATGTTCATCGACAATAAAACACAATGTTGAATTTCAAAACTTAATTTTAATACTAACACATTTTTGATGCCGGTAAACATTTAATTACATTTTTGTTAACCTAATTCATCAAAGCTTAAAATACAGTAATTTCATCAAAATGAGACGAACACTTTTATATATAAAAAATATACTAAAAGAAGTTTTATTTCATTTATGACTAATTCGGCATATAATTTTTACATTTTAACTTATAACCAATAAAAGCTTATAGTCCGTGGTACAGACTCCTTTTTATCAAATTATTAACATCCGCCTAAAATTTCGTAAGTAGCACTACCTCATCGTAACCTACAACTATTTTATTTACGACGATTCTCGGAAGTTTTCAAAATGGAGATCGGCAAACTTTGTCTATTTAATTAGGTACTAAAAACTCGTAAATATCCATTTGCCTCGAACTCCAATCGTAAGATAATTTGAGCACAACATGGAGAAAACTCCTTCAAAAATATTTAGCTGTTTGGCGTGACCTACACCCACAACATGCCAAAATAACGAGGTTATATAGACCAAATGGCCCAATATTTTTGAAGGCCACTTTTTTTCTGGATTTTGTGATCAAATTATCTTACGATCCAAGTGGAAGGCGAAGGTTATTTACGAGTTCTTAGTATCTAATTAAATAGCCAAATTTTTCCAGATTGAAAACGCCCCAATTTCAAGAGTTTTCTTAAATAAAATAGTTGTATCTTATGATGAGATGAAGCTATTGAAGAAATTTCAGACGGATGTTAATAATTTGATAAAAAGGGTTTTTAACAATGACTGTTATTTCCATAGTGCCGTTCTTTTATAAACTTTTTAGCAGCGGATTCCTGTACCGATCACCATGAAAGTTCCAAACGTTCCTCCACATTGAATGATTGTTCTATGAACGTTGTTAACCAATTCTGTTCCTCT